GGGCGCGCGCCACCGGAACTCGAGGCCCCTTCAAGCCTGGCAGGAAGCCGCTCAGCCGCGTGCCAGCAGGCTGCTGCTCGGCCGCCCTCACATCCTGCAACCCTCCATAACCCCCGGGACGCGCTGAAAAAAATGAAAAATTGGAAAATCTTAATGCACCCCCCCCCCCTCCCCGCCCCGCAGACTGAAGGAGGTTTCAGCAAGCCAGGGGCTAATGCTCGAGTCCCTTTCCCCCGCCCTCCTCGCGCCCTCCGCGCCCCACGACGCCGCGACCTGCCCCGACAAGGCGCCGGCGGCGCGGCTGGCGGCACTCGCCGCCGCGGGGGCCGCGGGGGTGCCGTTCACAAGCGGCGTTCTGGTCGGGATTGGGGAGTCGCGGCGGGAGCGGCTGGAGTCCTTAATTGCGATCCGGCGGGCGCATGAAACATACGGCCACGTCCAGGAGGTCATCATCCAAAACTTCCGGTGGGCGGTTTTGTTGGGCCTGTGGAAGCTTTTTTTTCTCTCCGTCGGGTACGGGGTCGGTGAGGGGCGGCGTGCGGCGGGGTGGGGCCCAGGGGCGGTGGCCGGCGTCCAAATGCTACCCCCTTCCCTCGAGCCGCACCCGGGGCTGCTGCGAGCCCCTCTGATGTGACGCACTGCACCCTCTTGCTTGCATCAAGAGCTGCACCCCTCCTCCAATCCTTCCACACCGCCCCCAACCTCGGCCATTCCCCCCCCCAAAAAGAAAACAAATTGACCCCGAAACCGACCCCACACCCCAAACCTCAAACCCCAAACGCAGGGCCAAGCCGGGCACCCCCATGGCGCTCCACCCCGAGCCAACCTTGGACGACCTGACCTGGACGATCTCGGCCGCCCGCGTCATCCTCGGACCGTCGATGAGCATCCAGGCGCCCCCGAACCTCACGCCCGAGGGCCCGGCCGCGCCCGCGCCCGCATCCGCCCCCGGCGCCGCGGGCGGGGGCGGGGGCGGGGGCGGGGCTGGGGGCGAGTCCCTTGAGGCGGGCTGGCGGGCGCTCATAGATGCGGGCATCAACGACTGGGGTGGGTTTGCCGTTTTTGCCGTTGATTCCCGCACGTGCACGGGCTCTTTCGGGGCTTTGGAGTTTTGGGGTTGTAGGGTGGGGGGTAGAGGGTCTGACTCACCAACATCAACTGGATCGGCAATAATCCGCTCGGATCTGCGTCCCCGCTCAGATCTTTTTGCCCTGATGCTCCACACTTCCCTCCAAAAAAGCACCCACTTTTATCCACTCCTCTATCATGAGCTTAAGTACAACCAGCCCCCTGATTTGTGTCTTTGTTGTTTCTTGGTCCAAATCGTTGTCTTGCCGATCAGCAATCTCACGTGCATTGTATGTGCATCATGACCGTCACACCCCTAACATTTGTATCGCTATCTTGCTGATCAGCCCCCCCCCTCCTGACCGAAATTGCCGACGCCCCACGCAACTCACACGCGCCCCAGGCGGCGTGTCCCCCATAACCCGCGACTTTGTCAACCCGGAGCGCCCCTGGCCCCACCTCGCGCCCCTGGCGGCCGCCGCGGCAGCTGCCGGGAAGCTGCTGCTGCCGCGGCTGCCCGTCTACCCGCGGCACCTGACAGACCTCTCAGGCCGCTGGCTCAGCCCCAAAATCATCGACGGCATCGAATTTGGATCCGCGGTCAATGCGAATCATTCTGAGACTGCCAGCAGCAGCAGCAGCAGCAGCAGCAGCAGCAGCAGCAGCAGCAGCAGCAGCAGCAGCAGCGGCGCCGGCGGCGGGAGAGGGGGCGACATCGTGAGTGTTGCGGCGCTCGTGCGGCGAGCGGCCGACACGGACGGTTTCCTGCGGGCGAGCGATTGGTTTGCCGGCGCCGCCGCGGATGCCGGTGCTGGAGCCGCAGCACCCACGGCCGCGCCGCAAGCGCCAGCAACGCCGGCGGCCGCCAGGGGCGGCGGCGCAGCTCCCGCCGAGGCGGCGCCGCGGGCGCCGGCGGGCGGGGCGTGGCGGGTGGCCGTCGGGGCGACGGGGGCGCTGGAAGGCGTGCCGGCGCCGCGGGGGGCGGCGGCAGAGGTGGCGGCGCTGCTGGAACGGATACTCAGCGGCGCCGCCGCGGGGCCGAGCGGCAGGGGCGGCGGCGGCGGGCCGCCTGATGCGGCAGGTGACGTCACTCTGACGGAGGATGACATCACCCTGCTACTGGCGGCCAGGGGGGCCGACATGGAGGCTGTGGTGGCGGCGGCGGACGCGCTGCGGCGGAGGGTGTGCGGGAACGAGGTCAGCTACGTGGTCAACAGGTGGGCAGCTTCCGGGCAGCTTCCAAGCAGCTTCTCAGCAGCTCCACGCAGCGCTCCATGGATCCCCTACGCCATACTGTACTATGTCATATTATGTTGGCCACCAGCGTAAATCACGTCATCCGGCCCTTCCCCGTGCAGGAACATCAATTATACCAACGTCTGCACCTTCGCCTGCAGCTTCTGCGCGTTCAGCAAGGTGAGGACCCCGGGGGGAGTGGGGATGCGCAGGGGGGAGG